TTAGCCTGCGGCGTTGACCCACCACTATGCACACGACGGCACGACTCCTCTCATGGCCTTTGTTGCCCGTCTCCCCGAAGACGGTGATCACAAGGGACCGGTCGTCATACTCGAAAAGCTCATCGACAATGGCGCCCGGCTTGAGGCCCGCAATCGCCAGGGCAAGACCGCTCTGCACGTCGCTGTACGATGCGGACGCAAGCTCGCCGTGCGGACTCTGGTCAAGCGCGGAGCCAGCGTGCACGCACGCAACGCTGCAGGCCGAAGTGTTCTCGACGTGGCGGACAGCCGCATGTTCTGGTCGCGCAACCAGGAGAAAGAATATTCACATTACGAGGCATGCCGGGCGTGGCTGTCTGGGGAGGAGGCGCGGGCCGTGCAGCAGCCGACAGTTGCGCAGGAGTGGGCATGGCGGGAGCTGTAAGCACGGTGTTTGAGAGCAGTGTTGCTTTGCGGGGAGACGCGGGGGAACAGGAAAAGAATTTGTTTTCATATCCGGGGGTTTTTGTTTTTCATCGGCGCTTGGGTTTCGGGACGGACGGTGTTCGGTATCGGGTGTTCGGAGTTTGGATATACAGCGCGGTCATGAAGTACGATGATGACCGAGGATGGACGAGACATGAGCTATACGCGATACGGGGTATGAGCCTACGGGTTGGAATTGATGGGTTGGCTTAGCCAGGATATTCGCGTCTTTCTATCTTGCCTGTCATCGGCTGGAATGCCGATGTGTACTGTTCGACTTTGCCTCCTCCCATCCGCAAGTTCCTGTCGTGACGTTTTCTGACTGTCGATATTTGATCGTGGATGGGCAGGTCGAAGTACGCGCAATCATTGCTCGATTACTGCTCGATTACCTCAAGTCAAGGCAGCCCACGCGACACAGGAACGTTGGCTAGAAATATCGGTAGGCACCGAGGCCCATTGGCAAGGCGATAAGCCAAGCACCAGGCCCGCAGCTGCCTGGCGCGCTGCAGTCACGTCACGGCGAAGAAGGCCACAGCTCCGTGTCGCCGCGAGACAAGACAGCCACGGCAGCCACTCACTGTCAAGGTTGAAATCGTACACTGCATTTCGTCTATGTATCCATCTTGGATTCTGCCTGTCCGCGCGCGCGAGAGAAAGAGATAGAGAACGCGTGGGGGGGGGGCCTCCTCCAAGCCCGTTGTCACCACCACGGCCAAAGGAGGACAGGAAAAACAAAAAGAAAAATAGACAAACCCACGCTCTCACTTCTCTTCTCGTTTCGTCCCGGTTCTTGATGAAACCATGGTGTTCCCTTTCCCCGCCGCACCCCGCCGTTCCCAACGCCTGCCGTACAATTCGCATTTATACGAAGGGAGGAGCGGCGGACCTCTCTCGTTTATTCGATTCGATCGTACGGCTCCCTACGTGTTTTGTTTTTTCTCCTGAGTTCAACCTCCCCCTTTTCCCCCTTCACACTTCCCCCATTTTGAGGGAACAGGAAGGCCAAAAAATCAAAAGCTGCCACCCTCCCCGTTCGAGGCTCGTCACCAAGTGTCGAGACAGCAGCGGGTTCTAGTGAAGAATGTGCCCTGACGGATCTTGGCGCAAGACCGGACCAGACCTCGCGCGAGAAAACCCAGCCTTCCTTCCGCATATTGGGTAGGTAGGGCGGCACGTGGGCATTTTCTTTTGTCCAAAGAAACGAAAGACTACACGGGCAGCTTGAACTTCTTGCCCTTGAGGACCTTTGTGTAGTAGATCCAGAAAAAGTCGCTATAGAGGACGGTCTGGATGATGCCGGCGACGATGGCGATCCAGTCGACCTTGTGCCGGGGCTCGGTGAAGTAGCGGTAGATCCAGTTGGGAATGTAGAGGGCACGGTAGCTGCCAAGGGCGAAGAGGTAGTGGGTGGTGATGGTCTCGGCCTCGCCGGTGCGCTGCAGCATGAAGAGCTGGGGCAGAATAGCGACGGCCTCGAGCCAGATGGAAAAGGCCCAGAGGATCTCGAAGAAGCTGTAGTAGTAGGGGAAGAGGAGGGCCATGATGGCAGCGCCGCCGAGGAGGTACTGGACGCGGAACGTATCGAGGTTGGCGTCGTTGGTCGGCTTGTAGGCTGTCGTCATGAGGTAGATAATGTAGCCTTGAGAGCCGATGAACATGAGCTTGAAGAGGAGATTGTAGGCCGTGTTGGTCGTGAAGAGGTCTAGACATGTTAGCTGGCATGTCTGGAAAGAGGCTTGCTGAGGCAGCGACAGCAGCAGCGACAGAAGTTGCTAGGGCGGCAGAGGCGAGCGTACCAAGATACCTGGTGACGTAGACCAGAAGATAGAGGGCTTGAGACTTGAACGAGATGCCGGAACAGCTCTGTCAAGGACGGAGGCACAGAGTTAGCTGGCATGGCCATCATGGTGGGCTGATGAGGGGACGTCGTAGACGGTAGATGGGATCTTGCGTACGTTCAGCTGGACCATCTTGTGGAGGAGGATGATAATGCTCGCCAGATGCGAGAGATCCGCTGCAGAGATTGCATCGTCAGCTTCGTCGCCCTGGTGTGGCCTGCGCGGGATGAAGCTTGGGCGCGCGCTCCGATGCGCAGAGCTTCTCAAGGGACAAGGCATACATACCTAGGATCCTGAAAATGTTCAACATGATGACGTCGGGGTTGCCCCTGGGGCGGCTTCAGGTGGTGATGGACAACGTGTTCGGGGCGCTGGCTGCTTTGAGGAGCAGCGAGAAATGTCGAGGAGGGACGGCGAAGGCGATTTGAGGTTGTTGAAAATGACTGGCACGGCGTGTTGAAGCCTTCGACGTGATGGGTTATCGAAGGGACACTTGAAAGGACACGAAACGCGATTAGGGAGCTGATTGGATTGGGTCAGCGTCCTGTAAGGTACCTTGCCTGAGGTGACCTACCTACTGTCACTGGTGAGGCCTGGACTGGGGCTTCCTAGGGAGACGGGCCGCTAGCCGGGTACGAGCTCCAGGTGAGACCTCCCCCCTAACTCTCCCTCGCTCACCCACCCGCGTACAGACCCACAGGCCACAGGCCTCCCTGGAATCCGGAGCTGAGGTAATCACAACGGCGTTAAGTACCACCGACTTCCGAATCCAGGAGGGCTTTGGTTCGGAAGCCCGGAGGGGCCGCTTCAATGTGGGTCCGTACGGTGGGTTCAAGGGTCTGAGGTCGTGACGTCGA